AGACAGTTAAATGCCCCTTGCTGCTCTGGATAATTAATAAATAAAGTACCAGGGGAGTCCTGTCATGGCTTCCTCTATGACAGGGGCTGTCTCCAGTGCGCTAAAGCATTAAATGACCAATTCCTGTCAGGCTAACTTCCACTGCACTCCCTTGGCACCCTCTCTCTCATTCTCCCTCTCTCTCCCCCTCTCACACACACACTGTCTCTCTTTCTTCCAAAGAGAGCTACTTTGCTCTCTTTGCTCTGAGTTTTTCAGCGACTGATGGCTCTAGTTCATTTCTGCTGAATTAATTGGTCCCTGAATGAATTCTGTTGACAGGGCAATTCATCATGTGTTTGGCCTGACAGTGACTGGGGTGTTGGGAGTGTGGTGGTGGGGGAGGCGAGGGTGAAGGGAGCTGCAGGAGAAGCTGGGGTTATAGGGGGGAAAAGGATGGGGGTTGATGATTCTGCCCTCTCTTCTACCCGCTTCTATTATTCCCCTTTCTGCTAACAGGAATAGCCTGCATCAAATTCTGCTTTCCCCCGTCACTTCTCTCTGAATATTTCCCAGCTCCCCCGGTTGCAAACAAACACGCCTGGCTGACAGATCCAGCTGATTAGGGAGCTCCTCTGTCTGCTTTGGAGGATATCCTCATTACTGGCCAGTCAGGTAGCAAGCCCCGTTAGCCCAGGACCACCAGCGCCTGTTATGTGGGACCTGACACGTTCACTAAGAGAGGTGCATCGCATTAGGCTTTAATTGCATCATGTATCACAAAATAGCCATTAGGGTAATTATTTACTGGTGAAGGGTAAATGAGGTTTGGCGCTGGGCTGAGCCAAGCAGGCAGCTAGCCTCATTTTGGCAGAGGTGTGGCACTCACCTATACACTAACAGATATAATCGCTGGACATTTGCTTCGTTTGGAAATATCCTGTCATGCAAACCCCACTTTCACCCCCTTTTTTCTCCTTTTTCTCACACTTGCTTTCAGTCAAGCAGGGCACTTATTATGTCCAATCAATCAATGCTCACTCATTAGGAACCTCCCCTCAAGTATCCTCTGGATGGCCTCACACAGCAAGAGTCAAAAATTACCTCATAATTGCTGCTCAGGCATCATAACAAGCTAGGCTGCCCCAGTGACACGGCCATACAAACAGGTCTAACACAGGAATTGATGGATACTGTAGAATCGTATTATATATTGCCGTATCCAATTAGATACAGCACATAAAGCAGCAGATCCATTCCCTCTTTTCATAACGTCCAAACCAGTGCTCAGATATAAAGACGTGAAATGCATTTTCATATTTTCTCCACAGCCCCCCTCGTCTTGGTGTGTCACGGCAAATGATAACATCCTGAGGATTTATTGTACATTTGACACACCAGTAACCAAATTATAATTCAGTTGCTGCGGCATATTCATAGAACCACTGTACAAATCGTACAGAGAGAGTGTTCAGTCAGCATGTATTAGTGCGGAGCAGCTCGAAAAGGTCAACAGTTAGATCTGACACTGTGGTTGGAAGTTATGCATGATGAGGTTCAGTGTTATAAGACCTGAAATAGAGAAGTTTCTCATCACTGTTAAAGGTATTTTTTATTACACATCCTACCACATGAAGACCTCCAACTTGTTTTCTTTTTATAAATTACTGATGAACAGTATTTAACGGATCATACTTATTCAAGTTCAATCACTCGATATGTGCACGTTTTTGTCTTGTGCAAGTTTTGAGGCATAATAACTCAACTTCCTCAGGAGCAATCTACAGAATGAGGTCTACACATTAAGAAAATTACTGCTTATCCAATGAGGACTAATAGCATTAATGTCACAGTTTGGTATGGAGCAAAAAAGTTGAGTACAAAAAGATGAATCATAGCTGCAGAGCGGCCTGGTCCATGTATAAAAATGTGCAGTAAATCAACTTTTCAGCACTTATGCATTAACTTGATTACTGAGCTAGTTTTTTATCTGAATAAAAATCTCTGTACTAAATCCTCTGCAGAATTTTTATTGTTTTTAAAATCAAATACGCAATTTTGTATCCAAACTTACACTTTTGTTTGCAACAGTCAATTTAATTCTTGTGCTTTTATTTCAGATTTTTATTACTAACTGAATGCTTCATGAGGAATGACAGTGACAGGTGCGAATGAGAGCCAATCAGATCATCCCACTGCTCTTATATATATATATATACAGTAAATAATATATTTATATTCTAGAGGATGCTGTTGTCATCTGGCATGCTGCAGTCAATTTGAGCTTGATTGACAGATACATCCAGGTTCACAGTTTATTGGTTTCGGAGGAGAGAGCCAGATATGCCAATTTAGACAGGAAAGTGACAAAAAAGTTTCCATCTAAATAGAATAATTCTGCTTCTGGGAATTCTCAGCTGGGGAGAGGGAAGAGTCAAGCTCCCTTTTTTCTCCCCTCCCTCCTCCTTTAACAAGGGCTGTGAATGACAAACATATACGACAGTTAGGGGCTGACAGAACATCAGCTTTTGATGCTTCACAGGGGAGCTATGAAATAAACAACAGGCAGAGAAATTGAATTACAAAGCAAAAAGGGGGTCTCTCCTCGTAGACCCAGAGGCATCAGAGTGCACCAAAAAAAACCAGCTCAGCACAGTATGTTTTAGAGGGGCTTATTTTCTCTTTTTACAATGTTGAAATTTGAGGACAAATGTGTGATAGATGGATAGAAATGGAGTATTCTCTTCTACAAAACCTCATATTATTTTAATTTAATATCATATCACTGCTATCCATGCAGGACCAGAAAGTAAAACTCACTCTTTTGCCATTAAAACAAGATTGAAAATAGCATTTGGGCCGAGAAATGGATGTCTGAATTAACAACTGAAAAGCTCAACAACTGTATAATATATTCTCATCCTGTCTGACATCATTTCAAATGTACATTCTGCTTTATCATGTGCTCCCGCAGCCCAAATCCTTTGCAAATCGCACACCGCTAATCAGGACAGTGTCCACTTGTTGTAAATCAATAATGATATAACTAAGTCATACAAGGCGGCAGTGGCAGAGGGATTACGGAGCGAAGAAAGAGTGAAAATAAGCTCTAAGAGGGATTTCATGCATAAATCTCTCCCTGCAACTTAGCACAAATTGAATTCAGGCACACTGCTAGAAAAATTAATTCAGCTTTACAAAGCGAGGAGAGGTTAAACACTTTATGTGCTGCTCAGTGATCCAAATCATGGAGAAAACATTTAGAGGCATTCTCACTGTAGTCCCCGTGCACCACGTGATCTTTATACCTGAAAAGTAAATACATTTATCTCAAAATAGTTCTATTAGCTACCTGAATGTTTTGGTTTTCACCCATCAACACACAGAAAATAAGTTATTTGTCATGTCAAGCTAAATTTGTACTTAACATGGTAACACTTTAACCCATTGCGAAGAACACTACAATTACACGCTTTAATGTAGTTTTAAGCAACAGTAAGGACATTTTAAGTGTTATTTATTCGTCAACAATTATTAACTTTTGCAGAATGGAAGTGGGATTTTCCTACATTGTACGTGGGAATGTACATCTGTGAGAACATTGTGGGTCACTGTCGTTAGTTTGGTTCAGCATTCAGCGTTCATTTTCAGTTATCTCTGTGGGTATGATTACAGCCTTTCAGGTGTTGGGAAGCAGCTAAAGCTCCAGATTTGAAAGATTGGGTATATGCAACAGAGATCGCATATAAGTCCGTGCTTGGTAGATTAAAGGGTAGTTCAGAAGATGGGACTTCCTCCTGGGACCTTTTTAGTGGCTTTTGTTGAGGTCTGGGTGTTTATGTATGTGCTATTTATTTAACTTATCTTTTATTTCTTACACCATATCCTGTGGCTAATAGTATAAACCCCTGTAACCATATTCTTACTGCGATGTATCCAAGCATTTCTTTAAAAAAAAACAACAACGAGAACTTAAATGCCAAAAACAATTATAACTTCTCCTGTTGAGCATCTGTAATATGTGTATATACAGATAATAAATGACTGATAATATAAAACAACTGTAAACATTTTACGTAAATATTAATAATTAAGTATGTATTTTATATTAGTTAATTATATTATTACACTAATTGTGTTTATCAAAAATGTATTTATCTTTTAATAAATACGTCTTTATGGTCTAAGACAAACTCTATCAGCTGCTGAATACGTAGTATGTAGAGGGACAGACGTGTTATAAACAACTTAAAAATACATAGAATATGTATGTATGTAAGTTAAACTTTCACAATGCTATATTGTAATTTTTGGGCCTTTTTCTATTTATTATTATTTTTTATTTCTGATGTTTTTTTCTGTATTGCAGTCTTGTGATAAATGGACTGTACTTATATATCACCTTTCTAGTCTTCTCAAATCATTGTACACTACATACAACATTCACACACATTCATACAGTGATGACAACGGCCATCACAAACAGAAGCTAAGACATTCATACTGATTCACACATCAACGGCAGGCATCATGAGCAATTTGGGGTTCAGTATCTCACTCAAGGCATGTAGTGGGAGGAGCCGGGGATCTAATTTTAGCTACTTTATATACTGTGGGATAGTTGAATCCATAACACTTACATATTTTGTCCAATACTTCCCTCTGAAATATATGAAGTGTAAGTATAAAGCAGCAGAACATATTAATAAACAGGTCATCTGAGGCCCATTTGTTTGACTTTTGTTTCTAAAATTAAAGTATTCAAGACCAAATTAGTCCCACAAATAAGATTTTTTTTCATCTTTTGATTATTGTTTCATTAAATTTGCCTTTTTTGTCCGACCAGCAGTCACAGGGAAAAGCACCAAATCGAATTGAGAAGCTGAAACAACAAAATTTTTTGGGCACTTTTTTTTTTTTAATAAATGAAATACCTGATTAATCATTTATCAGAAATGTTGTCATTAACTGACTAATAGTTTCATCTCTAGTCCAGATAGTCAGAAACACCATGCAGCCCCTTTTGCGTAAAAGATTTCAGACACTTTTATTATTGTACAAGTGAGACCAGCATAATGAAAGTGATAATACCCATGAACATGAAAGACATTTTTTCTTACTGTATTTACAGAGAAGTGTCTTCACATCACACACAAAAAATCCTTCTACAAAATGAACAATTTGTAAATAACATAACAATTAAATAAACTCCACCTACCTTTAGGTTTACAGCTGAATATGCATATGATGACCATCTCTGCACTGCATAGAATTTATACATATACTTTTCCTCATGAACAATGTGGGTTTTTCCTAATAATAATAATAATACTGCTCTCATGATGCATATAGGCGGCCTGTAAATAAAACATTAACAAGAACTAAGTCTTTGGCAAATGCAAATACATTCACTTGACAGATGAAGAAACCATCATTCCAGCTTGATTCAAAGAAATATCTTGGCCTGAAACATGTGAGGGAGCTGAAGTTAGGAGGGAACATGTTTAAGGCATTTAGCTGAAATCATCGCCCTGCTTTTTGACGTTTACTGGAGTCGTCAGAATCATCCAATCAGAGTGAATCTGGACGCTTCTGGCATCAGACTAGACAAATGATGATACTGGTTTGACTTGGGATGGCTGTTATATCCTTTTCTGTGGTTGAATGCCAAAGACTTAATCAACTTAAATAAAAATGTAAGCTGTGAGAACATAGTAGTGCACGTCAAGGCAGTGACACGATAGGCCTTGAATTACAGGAAAAACTGTGAGACTGTAAGTGCCTTTTCAGACTGAGACGTATTAGACTTACAGTCAAGTTTCATGAAATAAAGCAAATATGCATCATCGTTTTTCTGCATAATAACGCTCCAGTGTTGCAAACCTCCAAAATAGTGCAAAATTAACAAAAAACACAAAACAGGTTTTGCCTGATGACCTCTTGTATCCTGACAAATAAAAAATAGTAAAACACTAGCCAAGCAATCTTGTCGTTACGAATTATAAAAATGAAATAAAAAAATTATTTTAAGAATATATTTACTAGTTTCTTGAAATCTTGCAAATAGCGGGCCATGGTGATATACTGTCATGGCTCCCTCTATTTTCAAACGGATGTTTCTTTATTTATTTCATTTTCATTTTTACATCTTGATTGTGTATCACAGAGAACATGTCCTAATCTTCTCATGGCATCAAAAGCGATCGATTTACTCATGCTGGATGTTTGGTCGGTGACTGTTCAGATGGATAAAAAACAACATTAGCTTGCCACAGCCTGCATGTGCTGCTGCTAATCTCCTCTGATCTCACTGCGCTGCCATCTGAATCGAGAGGGAGACGAATGGAAAAAGGAAAAAAGGCTGCTGCTACATTTTAAGCTCCGGACAGCGTCCCTGCTGAGAGCCGTCAAGAAAAGGAATGTACAGTATTGATCCATGATGGGATGAAACTGTGACACTGCTAGAGGGAGAAAATAAATTCTGATATTTTTATTTTCAGTCTTTTTCTTTTTTTTTCTTCTTTTTTTTAAACCACTGCAATTAGCCACAGTTTTCATCATGTGTGTAGCGACTTTCAGTGTCTCTGGTGATGTCTGGTATTTTTTTTTTGGCTTTGAGTGACCAAAAAAAGCTGTGAGGAGAGAGGAGAGAAGTCGTCTGGAATCCCCAAAAAACGTTAAGTTTCTCATTGTGTGAGTCAGGAACATTTTATGCGCAGTTGCTCAGTGTCCAGTGGACCATGCCGCTCACACCGGGGCAATATGGAGGCTAAGGCCATGGTCCTGCAGGTTGATTTGGTTTCCATGGTAACTAGTGACGGTCATAGGCAGTGGCAGCAGTGGGAGGGGCGGAGCCTCTCGATGCGGCACTATAATAATAAGGGGAACCTGAAAGTTAACAGAAGAACGAACCATTTGAAACAACAAATATAGTTTTTACTGCCATTAACCAAATGTACTTCCAATATATCAGTTTAATTGTTGTTAAGCTCTTTTACTTTAAATGTTTATGGTTGATTGACCGTTGCTTAAGCCCCACCCCTTTGCGACTGTAGCTATGCCCCCGAACCTTTCCGTTCTGCACTAAAATTTCTAATAGTTTTTAAAACAATACGTCTTTGTTGTCAGACAGAAACAGACAAAGAAGGGTTTCTCATTTGTATCCAGCATCTGTCAGTTTTGGAGGCTGGAACTATAACTTTCCGATGCCAGAATCTTATTAGCTTACTAGTTAATTAAGCAAACGTTAGGCCCAGAACTTGGCTGTCAAGGGGGGTTTCTTTAACATTTTCTAATATTTGGTTGCGTAGCTGACATACTTTTAATGTTACAGGAGAAAATGCTTTCAGGAAGAGGACTAACTGTTAATGTAGCCACTAGCGGTAGCCTAAACCCTGACAGTTTACAGGACCAGCTTTCAACCAGTGGGTCTGCTTTGTTGGTAATCTGTACCCCCCTACATAATAATGTAGTTGGTTAAAGATGAGTCCCTGGATTTAGAAAAATACATCAGCCCCTCCAGGAAGTTGCGATGTTGCAATTGCAGCAATTAACGCAAATTCAACCAATCCCAGTGAATTCTGCACAACCTTGCAATTTTGTCCAATCAGCACAACTTTTCTACAAATTTGATCAATAACTGTAGAGTTTCACCAATCATAGCAGTTGCATTTTACAATTCTGCAATGCATTATATTCTACAATATGTGTTTGTAGCAAGTTTCAGTTTCGCACGCATTTTCATTACAAAGAAAAGCTACTGTGAGATCATGCATTTTAGGCTGAAACAATCCCCCCAAAAAGCCCGCAAAATCCTGGAGCGACGGCCTAATGCTATGCCACTACTGTAAATAGTAAGCTAGTTAGCTGGGCATGCTAACAATAGTAGCTCAGGATAGAGCAAATAAACACAATGTTTAATCTATTCCTTACACTTTTATTGTGTTTTCAGTTTTGGAAAGCCAAGGGGGAAAAGAAACACCACCCTGCAAACTCTTTATATTAAAAGCATCCTACTTATTACAGTCCTATGAAAACCGCTTTGGCATGTGGAGAAACCCAAAGCTTGAAATCCTAAGCCTGCTGTGCATGGTTACGGTTGCTAAGGCTACAATTGGACGGTTGCTATTCGGGGGGAGGGGTTAAGCAAACGGTCAATTAATGGTTCTCATCCAGGTTCTCGGTCTACTCACTTAGTAATGCTGGGTTGCTGAATCGCCAGGCTTCATTGTAGGTTGTGTACTGTGGATGACTGTAGGGGTTCCCCGAAAACTCGCTCCCTGCAAAACAAAACAACAAATCAATTAGCATTTCAGTGCATCAAACCATTACCCCTTCACATGCAGTCATTTCTCGTCAGTCAAAACAGGATGCAATTTGAGGGGGAAAATGATAGTCATCGTTGTGCGACCAGTCAAGCAAGTAATTTATTTCTTTTTCATTTCACTTAAGTTATGCAACACTGAACAATACAGGATGTGACACTGAAGGCGGCTTTCCCTGGCCCATTTATGGATATCTACCCATTCTTCTTCCTCCAGTATATTCCAAACCGGCCTAATAAATACAGAGTGGTAATAAACAGTTTCATGCATACATTTTTGATATGCTGCAATAAATCCTGCAGCCTTTCTTGGAGAAATTTTAACATCTCCAATCTGAACCCCCTCCGGTCTGAGCTCTGGTGTTTGGTATGACAGAATTTCATTGCTGGGGAAGTAACTTGGAGCATGTCAGTGAGCACTGCTGTTGGTTCAACACGTTTCTTTCTTTTACGAGACAATAAAGGCTAGATTTTATATGAAGCTGGTGAGAAATGGCTTTGCTTTAACAGTGTTTTGTGCCTGTCACTAAATCTTAGTGGTTGTGTATAGGATGAATGGGTTGTAACACAAAACCACAAGCCATGGGATTAAGGCCCTCATCTTTTGCTTTGTGGCACATAAGAACAAATGGAAAGTAAAAGTATGTTTGACTTGACGCTTTTCCTCCAACATGATTTAACAGTTTTATTAGTGAAAATCCAAAAGTAAATCCAGACTGCACTGCCACTGGGTGCTACCACATCTCCCTTTGTTTTTACTGGTAGCTGTTAAATGGACTCGTCTGTTTGCAGAAGTATGTCAAGAAAATCTCTATATTTTCAAAGTGCCAAAGTTTATTTAGATTTAAAGGTTAATCTAAATTAATCATTTAAATATTAGCAAATGCTTAAAAAAGAGATAGAATTAGAAAGCATTGTGGGATACATGTGGTAGATTCTAGTGTAGTAGTTCAGCAAAAATGATTCTGTAGCCTGTGATTTTAACACCACCTTAAACAAAGTTCAATTCACTTTCATTGAGGAGGCAGAAAAATAAGAGATGGATAACTTAAAATCTGGACAAATAAAACTGTCTGCAGTGCAAGATTCTACTAAAGGTACGAAGAAATATTTATCTTTTGTAATTTTTAAGTTTCAATGAAATATGTTTGCATGAGGTGTTTCTTCCTCATGGCAGCCCTTCATAAAGGGAACAGCCTGAGACTGAGATGGGTTGTGTGATTGGTAAATGATATGCTAACGCAGGACACACTCCACTGGTTTCCCCATCCATGTGGTTTAATCACATTAAAGCAAAATGCCGGCTGTGTTTTGGTGAAAATGTGTGTGGTGATGCCACAGCTGAAGAAGCGTATAAACCCAGCACCAAAAAACTGCATCCTTGCTCTGTTCCTGGCAGTGAAACACAAGCATGACCTCCTCAGAGAGACAGCGATTTGAATATTTACCAGGCTCCCATGCCTCTGCCTTTTGACCCTTAACTGTTTGCTGTGAACCTGAACTGCAGGTTAAGTAGAGGAGGGGAAAGGGATATGCTCTGGAGCTCAGAGGCTGGGGAGGGCTGCAGTGCTGTTTATCGACGCTCTGTGCGAACAGCCACGCAGGGAGATAATGAGCCAATAAGGCAAGAGAGGAAAGCAGGAAGGAAGTGAGAGCGACTGTCCTCTCCCCTGTCTCTGATCACTTATTCAGCCTGTCTAATCCAATCATACACACAGAGCTAATATAAGGATGTGTGTGCCTCTGCAGGTCAATATTTATCGCCTCTCTGCGTAATTTGGCGCTAAAGTCTCTTCCCTCTGCTTCTGTAGCTTCTACACCTGTTCGTTTTGAGGGCAGTGCCACCTGTTAAACAGACCCTAATGACAATATGAAGCAGTGACGTCGTCTCTCACTTACCAGGAACCATTCCAGCGAGCGTGGAGGTTGGGTAGCTGCCCTGGCCTGTGGGGGGAACGTGAGGGGGATACCCAGGTAAGGTTGTGTTGGCCATATCTCGACCTGGAGATACAAAAAAAAAAAACACAACACAAAAACCACATCATCAGCGCTTTCTAGTTTTAATCTGTGAACCTGGAGAAACAGCTTCTCTATAGAACTCAGTGGGGATTTTACTGAGCGTTTGGATCTTTTTCTGATTCTGAGCTTTTTTCCCTACGTTTTGGATTAAATAATCTGTAGTGGAAGAAGTATTCTGATCCTTCAGTAAAAGTAGCGATATAGCATTGCATAAATACTCCATTACAAGCCCTGCTTTCAAAATTTTACTTACGTATGGTCAGAATGCCCTTCCACTTAATATCCAAAGTAACTCATCATGGAGATAAGTATTATCAGATATATTGAATTTCTGGGACATTATTATGGATCCATCAATATTAGTTAGTTATATCTATACAAATTCAAAAACATGTTTTTATTCTTGTTCCTACAGTTCCTAGATGTATGTGTAGAGTTTGACACCAGAAGGATGTTTTCACATTAGCGTGCTAAAAGTGGAAAGTGTTCACCGAAAATCGGATTTTAAGGGACGGGGCTTACAAGCATGATTTGTGACATCACAAATAGTTTTGAAGTCAAACCTGGTCCAGTACACAACCTATACAAGTGTGACGTAGAAATTAGAAGCCATCAGTTCACATACACTGAGAATGGACAGAAGGAAAACTTTAGAAATAAACAAATTTGCATATTGATTAATTTGGACTATTTTTATATATGTCTTCATACATGTTTGGAGGGGATCTTTAAATACAGTGTTTAGTTACTTTCTAAAATGCAAATCAGCTACTTCAACTATATAATTTCACCACATTTGACCGACAAAATGTGTTACTATACACATCATGTCTCATTACCACCACCGCAAGTCAGTCAGCACAACAACTCGATTTTTACTGTAGTTTGAGTCTAACGTTTTAAAGAACACGGTGTCTTTTAAACCTGTTTCTAAACACCAGAAAGCATCAATCTGCCTCTCCAACAAGTGAACTGAAAACAAGATACCAGCTGCTGCTCTGAGGCAACTGAATACTGGTCGCATTAATATGTCTCCTCATTACACAGTTCAAACTTGTCTAACTATGGCAGCCTTTACTGAATCCCATAAGGCTCCTCTTTTTCCCTCAGTGGCTGTAAAGTCCGAGCACACTGGCCTCTCTGCAGAGCGCCACCCGTCCGGCTGCAGATATTCAGCTCTGTAATTGAGAGTGACGGTTGGGTCGTCCTTGCTAGCCACGGGAACCTTTGGACAACGGCATGTAACCCCAATCTGCACAGGGGCCGGGTAGGAGAGGCCCCTGTTATATTGTCAGCTGTGAGGGCCACTTGGTCTGAAAGGGAAAATCATCTCCCAATAGAGCTTTAATGAAACACCACAAAACAACTGTTGTCCACGCTGTTGCCTTTACAAACAAAGTCCAGCAGAACAGGGCAACTCTTGACGACCCAAAAGAAAACTTTTTAATAAGATGATCCAAAGAAAAAAAACTTTTTTTTAATAGTCAGCTTTACCTTTAACATCACTGTAGGCAGAAGTATTTTTTGATTAAGAATGTCAGAGCTTTTAAATTTAATGTTCCTACTTTATTTTTAATAGTTTGCTAAAGGTCTAACTTTAAAGTGTTTGTGACAACTCTGGGATATGCAAAGAAAAATATAACATTATAGAACAAAAAAAAAACCCAGCAAGAAATAATAAAAAATAAATAAATAATATAATGTTATGCTTCATACTGAGAAAACAACTCTAATACAACACTCTACCTCCCAAGTACAAAACACATTTATATGTCCAAATGTCAAAAACTGAATCGTGCTGCTAATTACCACTGGTAATGAGAGCATAAACCACTGGAAAATTTAGATATTTACTTAAAAATCCAATTCATACATGTGCAATATCATGAGAGATATATTTGTTCAATTGAGGGTTGAGCGAATGAGCCCTCTGGGTACTGAAGTACCTGCTACTACAGGCTGGCAGGCATATTGGCTGCAGTGGGGGCCATGGGGGCCGGGGAGTAAAACGGCTGGTGAATCTGGTGAAGAGGCAGGGTGGCAGGCCTGGAGGTCCACAGGACTCTGGCCTGCCAGGGAAGAGGAGGGGGAGGAGGAGGAGGAAGTGGGGGTCGGAAGAGTCATGGAAGCCTTGTATGGCTCTGTCTTAATGTAGGGTGATGATGGATGGATGAAGACCTTTTTTTATAAATGGAGGAGAGATACATAAAGAGGCAATAGGAGAGAGACAGGTGCACATGTGACCTTATATTCTGCCACATACTTAGATATTATATCATACACAGACGTAAAGGTGACCACTTAAAGGGGAAAATCCAGCCAATAAGTTGTGCTATTACACTAATCCACAAAAATCAAAGCAAAAGGACTTGTTTTTAAGGACGTTGTCATGTGACACTTTTAGCAGATCTAATTAATTATTTTGTGGGAGAACAGTTAGGTGCATTTATTCAAGTTTTTTTATTCCAATACATTTCTGAAATACTGTATTTTTACTCCACTAAATCTTATTTTGCAGACTTTACAAACAAATCATACTTTATGATCAGCTTACAGAATATGATGCATTACCAGAGATTTAACTACTACACAATATTTAAATTGATTAGAATGAGCTGACCTACCACTTCTTTCAGGTGCTGCTTACATTTTAAATCATATATCATAAATAATCATTAATGGACAATAATATACAGTTTTAAAAGGGGTCATTCTGCATAATGGGTGACTTTTGATACTGCAGATCTACTTATATATATATAAACATTTTTTAAGGCAGGACATGAAAATAACCATGTACTAAGTACTGTATTTAAGTAAACGTTTGATGTACTTGTACTTTATTTGAGTGATTCCATTTTATGTTCATACTTCTTCATATTTCTACTTCATTACACTTCAGAGGCAAACGTTGTACTTTTTATTCTTTACTACATTTATTTGATACATTCAGTTACTAGTTATTATAGATTAAGCTACCCAGCGGTACATTAAATGAATAAAATGAGCTCCACTGCAACATTAAAGTGATGAACACATTAATGCATCAATAAGTGTAATCAAATGATATAATGTAATATATATTATTCTGAAATGGGCCATACTGCAAAATGAGTATATTTTGATGCTAATACTTTTGTACTTTTACTTGTAACGGAGTATTCGTACACTGTGGTATTGCTGCTTTAACTCAAGTAAATGATGTGAATACTACTTCCACCATAAAAGCATTTTTAATGCCGAGCTTCCATCTCTGCAGCAGAAAATGCACTTTGTGTCTTAATAAAAATACCACACTGTTGTCATAGTCCAAGGAGTATATTCTCCCTTAAAACACATGCCAAAAAAATAAATTGTATGATAAAGAAACGATTCAGTCTTATATTGAACAACTGCTCTCTATTATTTGCAAATCTCAGCACTGATGGCTGTATTGTACGAGGCCTGTTGAGATGTGTCTTTTGGTTAAAGCACTGAGACTCGAGGGCTGCGGAGTTAAAGAGCTTTACAGAGAAGAGTGAGGTCATGCTGGACCTTTCATTTATAATAAGAATTAGTTAGCCACAAGCCAGTGCACATAAGTCAAAGGGAGCCGTGGGAGTACTGTAGGTGGGGGGTCCAGCAGGGGTGAGGCCATTGTGTGTGTGTGTGTGTGTGTGTGTAGACACTGGTAACTATTGTCTAACTGTCTCAGCAAACACTGACCCAATCTTTTCTTCATTATGATTGCAGCAGCTACAGCAGTCGTGCATGTTTAATAAAAGTAAATACTCTTATCTCTTCATTACCTCGCTTCAAAGAGATGACATTTACTGTACAGTCTCAAGCGAAACATCTAGTTTAATTTCTTTAAGATATGGAAAAGCTGGGGATACTGGGATGATCAAATAAAACGTATTCCTCTACCTTTCCTCTTTAGATGGTTCTGATCGGAATTGGCCGACACTAATCCAATACCAGTTGTTTTTTTTTGTTTGACTAGTGAAACTGATCAATTCTGTATCAGCGCACGACTTCTTCACTACAAGTAGACACTCTCACACACCAAAGTCCAGTTAATGTTTGCGCAAAATTTAATGATATTGTTCCAGAAGGTTTATAAAATGTTGTTTTTTTTTTTATAATTTTCTAACATCAGTGATTGACTGATAAACTGCATTTAATGTGGGTCGGTCACTTCTAGCCGATGCCTGATTAGCCCCGATACCGATCCAGTTTATTCGATCAGGGCATCAATACTTTCAACTTAACCTTCATTGGAGACTTAGATCTTCATTCTACCCTCAAATAGCTATGATAAAACACACATTTTGGTGGGTTTTTTTGATTTAGTAGATGAGTGAAAATCATCACACATTTTGGTAAAAGCAGTTATTTCAATGCAAATATATGAAAGCACAATATGTTTCCTAAATGTTTTGTATTACCCAGTTAATAAATGTGAATGTCAGTCTGTGTATGCTGACTGTTGGCCATCAACTTCAGTCTTTTTTCATCACTTGTTGACTCTGATAATAATAATCACAGGCTCTGTTGAATCCTGTTTTTGTATATTCCAGGATACAGTTGGCAGTGGCTGCCAGCAGCTCTCTGACTGTTGCTTTATGTCCATTTTAAAGCCCTCTTTCAGAGAGGCGCCGGTTCGGAGAACTCTCTGTACAGCAATGATAGCCTCATTAGCTGCTTCCTAGCCTTTGTTGTTTTTACAACAGAGATGTGTGTCCAGATTCTCATTAAAAGATGGCCTTCTTTATATTGTCTGCTTCCTCTGACAGTCCCCTTAGATTGAACGCCAGCAAATCAAGCTATTTATTTTCCTCTGCCCTCTTTTTCCTTCTCTGCAAAAATCAATTCAAAGATTTTTTGTTTTGCTGTTACAAAAGCCTGTTGATTTCCGTCTCAATTTGAGAAGTGGCTTGTAACAGTCACTGCTGAGCTGGGAATACAGTATTTCCTGCTCTTAGTATGCCTTGAAATATCTGATTTTCACGGACAAGATCGTTTGAATATTGTGCTTTTGCAGGTATTTGACAAAAAGGTGCAAACTGAGAACAAATGAACCATTAAGTACCACTGGTAATTTTCCTGATTTGAACCACACAGAGTGAGTGAAAACATCATGCAGTTTAAATTATCTTGCCAGCGCTATTACACTGTGAGAAGACGATGATTCTTTGGTTTTGTCTCAACCCACTACAACGTGACAAGAGAGGTGATGTTCAGTTTTTGCATTAGCATCAACTCAGTTTCTTAAAACACAAACAGAAAAGCAGGGTGACCTTCTCTTTATTTGGCACAGGAACAAAGTCGTTTGTGAATGACTCTTTTGCTTGCAAGAGTATTAAATTTAGCATGACAGGGACACCTTCATGTTTGCTACAACAACAACCAAAAATCTTTGACCTCCATTTTCTAGGCTATATGCAGAATGGGGCAATTTATCACAAGCCAAAAAATCTCAGCACCCTAATTAATTACAACTAAGTAAAGAATGTTTGGAGAGCCAAATTGCTTTAATTCCCCAAACACCGGCTGAAAGTCATTCATTATCAAATGTGTGCTCAAAGGTTAGTTTGCTTTTGTGAAGACGAAATAAGCATTAATTTCGGAGCCGGGGCCTGTGGGGAGACGGACGAGCGGTTTGTCATGAGGCCACACATCACTGACGGCAGGTTCGCTTTCTGATCTTTGCTCGCTGCTCACTGGGCAACGGCAGGTCTTGGTACTTTCTGTGTAGTTCACCCTGAGATCACTCACTCGCCTTAATTGAACGTTAAGTGAGGCTAGTTGTGTTTGCTGGATGAAGTTTTGTTTCGAAAATTGTCAGGCAGGGGATGAAAAGAGTGTACAGAGGCAGCTGCTTGAGGAGGAGAAGTGTCATTGACACAGGGGCTTTAAGCCTCTGGAGGCCTCCATTAACAGGCCCAGCAGGGAATATGTTTAAAGAGTCTTCAGTATGCAGTCACTGAGTGGAGATGTGTAAAACTCCCACTGAGTGCTCAAGGGAATCCGCTCAGCGCTCGAAAGATGGCTCTTAAGTCTGAAGCACCATCAAGAAAACAGGTGGGCTCTGACTAATTTCAGGAAATACAGAAACTCTCTATAGAAATAGTGGACAATTGGCCGTATCAAGGCCATCTCTCCATTTATTTCTCAAAATACACAAAAAAGTTCAGAGCTCCTCCTTCTGCTATTCATAAATTCACCCACGGCTCACACTATTTGAATTTTAAGCAGTTTGAATGAACAAGAATAAGAAGCACTTGAGATGAAATCCATCTCTCGAAGGGAATTCATCAAAGAAATTACTTCCCATATCAACAATAGAAATTACCTCACAATATGCAATTGTCCTATCCACATATTCATGGAACCCTTTGGTGTTTTTATGGGGTAAGAGGGACTATTTAGCAGGTAATACAGCATTAATGTGGAGGAGAGGGAGAGAGAAAAAAGCTGTTTTAATGGAAGTGGCTTCTTGCCTCTGAATTTCGATGATGTGCACAATGCCCTTAAATCCCTTTCTTATTTGAGGCTGCTTTGCAGGTACTTTTGAGCCTTAATAGGATAAGCAGAGGACACAAAAGATTTCTATCGCTCAAGTCTTTCACTTCACTGAGAATCCCGATCTCTGGCAATGAGCACTTCATGAATCATTCATTTTTAATAGATTATGCAAATTCCAGGACATAAAATCAACAAGATCAATAACTGCAGGCGTTTTAATTGGTGTTCGAAAACATTTTAAGGATGAACATAATCTCCAGTTCTTTCCCCCGTAAAGACACAATTAATTTGAAATTGGATCTCGGCCTAAATACTTGAGATAATTTGCTACTTTTTGCATGGCTTAAAATTCCTCTGGTAGGCTTATCGCTGGCAAGTAAACTGTAACACTCAGCCATTAGAGAGACCACACACCTGAATATCACCTAATATCCACAGAGGCAGGCACTGAGGGAAAACCAAGCATAGGAGCCACTAACTAAATACTAATTACCAACTGGAAGTCATAGTGATGTTTGTTCCATTAGTTTGACCTCTGTACGCTTTAGAATGAGATCTACCGAAAGGGCATGGAAGAAACCTATTTACTAACACAAAAGAAAGAGATGTGCTTTTCATACACAGACACACACACAGACACACACACACAGACACACACACACACACACACACACACACACACACCGATATGCATACAATCCCATCTTTCTTCCTCTACATGTCTCTTTGCACCTGTAAAGCAGTAAGGAGACCCTCTCTTCAGAGACCATCTAAAGTATCCCAGGTGCAAACAAAGCCGCCTGCAGAACCAGGTCTGCTTTCTACAGAGGCCATCAGTGCACAAAGGACAAACACACACCTTTCTTCTCAGGAGGCCTGCCTTACAGGGGAAATCTACCTCCCACATATTAATGAGAAAAGGGCCCTTTCTTTTCTCATAAGACTGCTTGGCTATCATTTGAGAAGGGGGGCTGCTGCAATTTTCAATCACCCTGTCCTCCCCCTCGCAGAACTCGTTGCCTTTGATGGCTGCTGCATAATTATATGAATTTTAATAAAAGCTCTGTATATTAATCTCAGGCCCCCGACAGTCATCGTAAACTTTCAGTAAACTTAACCTTCTTCTTGGTAATAACACGGCAACAACGAAACAATATTTCAATTAGCCAGGCAGTCATTAACTGTGACAAGGAGAGGAGACGAAGAGGGGGGAGAAAGAAAGAAAGTGAGAGCGAGAGAGAGATAGGGAGGGTGAAATAAATGATCATGGTGTTAGAGTTAGGCGGCAGAAATGCCAGAGCGTATTTACCGAGGCACATTACTCGTGCTTTGAGACACACAAACTGTCTCCCAGCGAACAAATCACAGGAGCAACACAGCAGCAGCCAACAAGCAGTCAGTCCTGCATGGTGGCCTTTTTTTTTGCGAGACCTTGCTCTGATACACAGTCATAGTTCTGATGTGCTGACACCCAAAGGTCCTTGTCCAGTAGTGACTGAACAGCTCGCACGCCCCCCCCAACACACAATCTCTCTTACCGCCCTGCTTGCTCAGCAAAAAGCAAGACGGAGGACAGCTGCTAAGCTTTTATCGCATCATCGTACCACCTTTTCAGCTCAGAGTGAAATGGTATTAAAAAAGTCTTCACACTTAACTTTTTGGTTTGCTTTTATTTTCATTTTTTTAGTCAATTGCACAAGCATTGTTTTTTCTTTTTCTTTTACATTGTTCAAACCCCCTCAGCTGAAGCTGTGGCTCGGCAGCATAAAGGCGGACTGTATGGCACTTGATCTTACCTACAGGGTAGCTTTGCGACACACTGGGGCCCAGGTCTGGGTTGGCGCTAGAGGATAAACTGGGCTTGACTTCGTCCAGGCTGGAATTCAGGGCAGGGAGCGAGTACTCATTAGCCTGGGAAAAGGACAGTTGAATCATTACACAACCAAACAATACCTAGATGGAAATCCTCCCTTCTCCTCCTCCATTAAGCGCTCCACACAGGCCTGTGCGAGTATAAATTTGTATGAGAGCATTGTGTGTGTGTGTGTGTGTTCAAGCTGCAGGGTGGCAGTTCAAGCATATCATGAATGTATTTTGGTATTGTCTGAGAGGAAGTGGGATTTTGAGATGAGTGAAAAGCCAAGGCGTCAGCTGGCCCTTTGTGCTTGACTGCAGTCCTACCCCTGATCAGCCAAGGGAGAAAGCAGTTCTGCTTTGTTACAGGCACACCATGTGGCCCTGTTTGAGAGACACCATTCACCTTTTTTTCTTTTTTTTCCTCTTTTTTTGCTTTTAATTCGGAGTCTAAACCACCTTTAAATTTCATTACCTCTTATCTCTGAATAGAATCACTTGTACAACTTTCACTTTTGTAACCATTTAACTGTTTGAGAGTTTGCCTCTTGTCAGCATTCAGATGGGACTAGTTCACCCAAATGGAAAACAAAACAACAGATTTTTAGCCCTAGCGGTATCTAGTAATGTAGATAATTTTGGTTTTAAGTGCCCAAGTTTTGAGATGTCCACCTCTGAAACTTCCATTTCAACTCCACTTTAACATAGGTGAGTGGAATTTCTGCATTTGTGCTAGTCTAAGCTTTCAAAAATACATTGAAAACTTTAAGTAAATTTTTTTTTTATTACTGGTGCCAGCGTGATACCTGAGTTACATGAGTACCAAAACAATACTTTTTTTCATCCTTTTTAATTTAAACTAATACTTCTTTTTATTTAACAAATGAAGCAAAACTTCTGAAAAGTTTTATATTCTCTGAGTTGAAATCCTAAATAATCTGAAATTTAGGAAGTCTGAAAATTATAATGTAAATCAGATAATATCTGATTCAAAAACAGGTAAACAAGATTCTTAACAGGCATTACCGACTTTCAGTGTTAAGGGTTAGATTGAGATTGAGAGTTCTGTTACTTAGTGCTGCGGATGATCTATTTCAGTTGGTCTGTGGATTATACAGAGTAACTGGGACATTGTTTCTTGGAAGACATGTCGCTGCTCCACAAATGGAAATACCATTCAAGCATTAATGTCAGAGGCAGAAATTTAAAACCCTCAGCAAATAACAACAATGTGTCTTTTTGTAATTTGGGTGAACTGACCCTTTAAAAATTAAGAAAATTATAATTTTACTCCATCTAAAAATAATTTCTCCCCAGCTTGTCTCTCATCGTCATGTTTGCTTTTGTAAATCCACTAAAAGACACTCATGGCAGATGTTAGCAGGGTTTTTTAATGAGATGAGACTTCCGGAGTCTGAGTGTTGACAATGTTTGTCCAAAGCCCAGTGTGAGCCTGAGTGGCTCAGTGGGCCGCGCTCCCACAGGGGGACGCCCGTGACCCCGCTCTTGTCTGCCACTATCACCGATAAACTCTAATTGTCTGCTACAACTGTTCACTGGCACAATGTCGGATGTTTTCCTCTATTCTCAGAGGCTTCAGACGCCAAACAGACGTTTTATCATGCAGATAAAGGGCAGAAGGGGGAAAACTGAAAAGATAGGTCTGAAAGGGATGACCAAATGGCTAGCAGAAGTGTGGGAGGGGTGAATCCATTGAGTTTTGCATCTCCAGAATGGGTTTTTAATGCCTCACTACAGAACCCAGACACTGGCTAATAGGGCCACATTTTCCAGAGGAATAAAAAAAAAACGTGAGGCAACCATGAAAGGGAAAGTGCTCTGATTAATATTGCATTAAATTAAACCTGATTTTTCTAGACTGTTCCTCGCCTCCTTTTTTCTTTTTTCTCTACTTGCCCCCTTTTTTAGTCTAACCCTTTTCCCTCTGCCTTTTAATACTCTCCCTGACGCTCTTTGTGATTGCAAGTCATTTCCAATTCGTTTTGGTATTGATCTTCCAGTAGAAATCAGTTTTGTAATTAGCTGCAAATTAGGCCCTCTTCTGGAGGTGAGGCCTGTCCCACTGATTTATCACCTGCGTAATTCGCCCCGATTGGAGAGAAATTAAAATGAACTCAATTAGGCGACTGCTTTTGCTTTATGGGTCTGACTTGTAGTTTGGTGAGAGAAATTAATAGTCTCTTGTTGTTTAATAGTATAATGAAAGTAAATAAAGGTTATCCATTGTAATAAGCCCAGAGCTTTTAATAAGCGGTGGTTTGTGGCTGTCGTTTTGGCGTGGGGGTGGCTGTTCCCCAAATGCCTCTTAATTTTTGAAATGAGGATGGATGGCGAGTGTGGTTTTAATATCAGAAGGAGGGAGCAGAAATATAGGGTTTCATACATCCATTTCATGAATACATGTTACAATAAACGCAGCCTTCAAGACTGCGTCAGTCATTAAACATCAAGATATGACAGAAAGTAAACAAAGGCAAGAAGAAGCAGTTGAATAAGGCGGCAAAAATGAAGAAAAATCTAGGTATTGATTTATTTCATGTTGCCTTACTGTTATTCTCAATTATAGGGGATACAAGGAATGTGTTTTTCATCACAAAATCAATAATGTGTGGGAGTTTTCCTGGTGATCCCTCCAGCATTATACATGCTTGGTTGTAATCCAGTGCTTGGCCATCTCAGACGTTTGTTTAATTAGTTTCTGGATATGGTTTGGGAATATTTGTGACAAAGGTATATTTGTGCACAATTTGTGTGTATTTCCTGAAGAAAAAGCAGAAGTGATGAGTTGCAGTGCTACTAACCTGTTCGGGTTTGATATGCTCCGATGTAGGGAAGACGTCAGGGTACGAGGGGCGTTCAAAGACCCGGTCCAACGCTTCCAGCTGCTGCTGGGTGAAGGCATCTGCCCTAAGGTGTTTCCGTAAACTCTCCACACTACCCTGAGAATCACTGTTTGGGCCAGAACCATCTGAACCATCTACAAGAAGAAAGAGCAACAATCGAGACACTGACCCTGGGAAGCTGGCCTTTACTTCAAGCTATGCACTTTATATTCTCCTCATGATTTTTTCTGCACCACCTCTGTGGGGGATCTGAGGAGGACAGAAAGGGATGGAGTGCAGGTTTTTCCACTCCTTAATGGCTGTAGTGAGCCACTGGCTACATCACACAGGCTTTTGCCTGCACCCCCCACCACAGTAGTAACACCATCATGATCTGAGCGCCCTCTGGTAATTGATGGATTACCATCACTTGCAAATATATACATGTTGTGGCAAGCATGTATACTAATGAAAGCAGCAGCTAGCCCATTATAGTGCCTTTTCATTTCAGCCAGGGGATTTTTTTCCCCCCATCTTTCTTTCCTCCCCAAAACCCTACCGGTGCTTGCTGAAATCAAGAGCAGTTTTTTTAAAAAGCACAATTTCCCTTTTTTCACAATTCAATACCGCTTTCATTCTCTGCCGGTGTGTGGTTCCATTTGGAAACAGCGGCGGAGGACAAGAGGCTGAATAAAATTGTACAGTCTAGTTCAATCATCCTGCTCTCCAAACACAGGAATTTTCTCCTGACTCCTGACCTGATTACCCGACTGTTGGGAGAAGGATGCCTTAGCTTTTCTCGTTGTCACTCGCTTTAAAGCCTTTACAGACCATCCTACCATATCTCCCTTTTTTCTTCTTCCTTCTCACCCCCCACCTCTCCCTGGCTGCAGTGGCTGTGTCTGTAGGTCTCCTCCCCGGATCCCAGAAAGCTTCAGCTCCCTTACAAATCTGTCATTCTAAATTTGCAGCAGATTATGTTCTCCCCTCAGTGGGAGAGTGGTGATATATGATATGCAAGGCCCCTATTGATTGCCCGATCTGGTGGCAAGAGGGAGCTGAAATGAACTTGAAATGAACATCATGCCTCAACTCATTGTGCGTATAATACTCTACTTAATCCCACATTTTTCTCTGCCATGGAATTCAATTGATCAATCATGTCTGTGTGATAGTACCATTTGGGAGGGTTATTGCCATTCTATTCTGCTGCTTGACCTTTTTTCACCGGCTGAGGCCAGAGGATGAACCCGACTCTCCCATGAAAGCTAAAGGAGCTATAAAAGAGTGTGTGAGTGGGTGTGTGTGTGTGTGTGTGTGTGTGTGTCTGAGCACGTGTGAGCGTGTGTAACCTGAAATTGTGCTGAGAGCTGCAAAAATGTCAAGCAATAAAAACGTTATGAGTTTGCTAACAACGTCTTGTTAACTGTTTATTCTGCTTTCACTGCACAAATGAATGCAGAATTTATTTAAAAACGATGCTTCGATACGCTGGATTGTTATCAGTGCCGATATTCAATATCAGGTTTTTTTGCCATGATGCATAAAATGTAGCTTCTTTGTCACAATCATAATCATTGTAAACATCAAAGGCTTTTGCGATCACTTCATTCAGGCTACGAAATCGGTTTCAGTCCTCATGTTACCTTATATAAAAGGATTCCAATGAGTTTGACACAGTGAGGTAAACAGATTTTAAATTTCTGATAAGAAAGAGCAAAGGTAGTGGCTCACTACTTGGTATCAGCGGATACTCTGAGTTGAGGTATCATATTGGGATAGAAAAGGTTGAATTGGTGCATTACTATCATTTACTACAGAAGCTTGTTGCTGCCAAAACTGATGGGTATCATTTTATAACTTGAAAGGTTTATTGTTGTTACAAGATGTTTTTTACATAATTACAACATACAAACTTATGAACAAGATTTTTTTTATAACAATGTACTGCAACCTTGTTATAACATGAAACGTTTCATGTTTTGAACAAAGCAGGACCAGAGTAAAATTTAAAGGAAGAGTTTGACATTTTGAGAATACACTATTCCGCTTTCTTTGGGAGAGTTAGATAAAGAAGATCAAGACCACCCTCATGTTTGTCTGTTTAATATGAAACTCTAGTTAGAAAATGGTTAGCTTAGCTTAACATAAAGGCTGGAAACTGGGGGAAATAGTTAGCCTGGCTCTGTACAAAATAATTTTCCCACCAGCACCTCTAAAGGTCACGTTTTAAAACGTTATAGTATCTTCTTATCCTTTGCTGGCAGTCTTAATGCTAAAGTAAGCTAATCGTCTCCTGACTGTAGCATCATGTTTAATGTCGGGTAAAACTCATCCAGCTCTTAGAGAATCGGTTTAACTATTCTTTTAACACGTCTCCTACATGAGAAAAACCCAACAACTCAGATTTTTTTCTGATCTGTTGCTCACCTGAACATTTCAGGTAGATTCAGCATATTTACTGCACAGCCTCAGTGAAGGCCGTCACCTACTATAGCTGCTGCTTGTCACTTTATCAAACTCAATTGTTCTCTTGCTACCAAAGCAAATAGAGTCATTAATTACTTTCTATCAGCCGGCCGAGCCACAACACCTGATCAATACCCCCCACCATATTTGTCATTCGCCACTGTGGAATACACTTCCCACACACAAGTCAAACCATCCTGGGTCAACCTACACTCTCTTCCTCCCACTCTGACTGAAGACAGTCCCATCTGCCCTCCCAGCTACTGATTCCCATCTGACAAATCAGCAACAACTGTGTTTTTGGTGATGAAGATGATTCTGGTGACATTTAGAATGTTTAAACAGCGTAAATCAGGTTAATTCATCCTTAATCATTTTCGAGACCGTCCTCCAAAGAAAACTATAGCGTCAGTCATTTCAGCAAGCGCCCAAAAATGCAGTTTGTTTACGTGCAAGTGTCAAAGCCCTCTAGTGGTCACAGAAGTGATGACTCATGTCCGTCGGAAGCAAAAGAGAAAGTAGTGTGACGTTGTTTCTGAGCCAACAAAACTTCAGACTGTTTGCTTTCTGTTTCCTGTGTTTGGTTTATTTCGAGCATGACTATGATAGTTCCCTAACCATAACCTTTTAACCATTTGGTTATTTTTGTAACCATGATGACAAAGGTCACCTAACCTTAACATTTTAACCAAAACCCCACTGCCCCTAACCCTACCCCAAGTCGTTTTTGTGCCTTAACCTAACCACACCTTAACCAAAACTGTGTAAGCTCAGAAAATGCTTCTGTGTGTCGCTCTGAAAAGCAGTTACAAACAACATATTATATTTAATTTTGGATTATTTGTTGTTTTCTTACTATTTTTTGAAAGATTTCTGGCAGAAAAAGCTGATGCCATAGTATTACCATGCACAATTCAGAATTCAAATATATTAAAAATCTAAATCCACATTTGATTGGTTGTTTGTTAAGTATGTTGGCCAATCAAATATGATAAAACTTCACCATGCACAGACCTGGTTATGTAGACTAAAGTTGGAAAAAACATGAAAAGTATAAATGTAAGGTTCAACTAAATTAGTTTTTTTTTACTTTTGAGTCACAAATAATTAAAGCTAAATAAAAATATTTACCATTTGAAAAAGTTTTCCGGTGCTGACTTATCACCATAACAAAAATCGGATGCATTGTTTGGACATTTCAAAATCTGCCCATTATACAGCTGTGATACTAATCCTTGACCACAGTGGCTTTGTCGGTGCGTTACACACTTGTCCCGCTCTGTGGTCATTTATTGATCATCTCTGGAGTTGAGTGTATTCATCTTGACATCAGTCTGTATTAACACTCTGGTAACGAGGGAGCAGCCTCCATCAGATCAGATAACCAGCTCTATAAAGCAGACTCCTCTCTGCGGGTTTGGCACCCAGAGGTCACGACCCCTCGCAGGAGGCTTTAGCCAGTGTAACTCTGAGACTGTGAGGGAGTCTGAGTGACTGAAAAACACAACAATTACCATGAATAAAGTGCAGCTTGAGTATGAATTGTAGCTTTTTCTGAAAGTCTTGAAGGAAGAGAATCTTTTCAGAAAGTGCCAGTTTTTCACTTTTTCAGGTAATGAAAATAAAGTTTCTAAGTTCTTGTTAGAGGCATGAGGAGGAGAGCTGGCACCTACAGGTCATGAAAGCCCCCCTCAGATGAAAGAGCTTAACCCCTCCCTCCCCTTCTCAGTCTGCTCTTTGTTTAAATAACATGTCAACATACATACGCTTTCGTTCCCTTAACACACTGTTATGTATTTCACAATAATACACCTCTATAATTTCCCGCCTGATTCAATTCTCGGTTAATGAAATCAAATTAAAACAAATTGGATGAACTCAGCTGCATTTTGTTTTTCTAATTGAATGTTTTGATTATGTAAACATAAATGAAATACTGCATTTAGAAAGCAATACGTTTGTTCTGCATCACCAAAGGTCCGTGGTTAGTGTTGAAAGGGATACGACGATAAATTGATTAGTATATCGATGGAAATTTAAATTTTGATCATCTAAAAATGCTCCAATATTGTTTATTTGCTTTTCAGATGTGAAAATTTCCTGGTTTTCTCAGTTTCATATAATTGTAATTTGAAGTCTTTTGGGTTTTATGCTGTGGTCAAACAAAACAAGGAAATGAGACACTTTTGGCTCTATGGAACTGTAATAAATTTGCATTTCTTTTTTGACAATTTATAGGTCAAACAATGAATTAAAATAATTAAGGTATTCCTTAATTGCAGCTTTATGTCTGATTATTCATATGATTCAGAGGGGAACATTTTGGAAATGTTGCTTGTTGGCCATCAATTTGCTATGATGTTCCTGAGCTTTTAAAGGCTTTATTAATCGAATTTGGAGGCTGCACTTAGGTGCTGACATTTTGCTGCGCTCTGTGTTCCTGTGTGGATTCTTCTCCCCCCCCCAAAAACAGATGCTGATACACAGAGCAGGGTGTGATGGCGGCCCGCTCCATCACTCATCTCCATCCACACACATCGGTTCGGTCCTCATGACGCTCAGAGAGGAGAAATAATTAATTCAACAGCTACTGAAGCACAGAATCACATCCATTCTGACTGCCACTGGCTATTGTTGTTGGCTTTTGAAATTTATGATGATCATCTTATCATGAAATTTCTCTCTTGGCATTTCTCTCATAAATCAAGAAGAAAGCCCCGACACAAAGAGAGAAAGCGATCGCAACGTCTGAAATTAAGAATCATCTACAGGTCTGATTGTGCAATTTGTGGGGGCTGCTCTGAAAGGACGTGCAATATGACTTTGAAAGACTGGACACACTTCATGGACACTGCATGTTCTCAACAGACCTCCAAGCTGTCTGCTCAGGTCAATTCAGCTCGCTCAGACGCTCACTAATAACAAGAAGGTGAACAAAAACATCCATGAAAGCAGATTTGTACTTAAACATGAGATACTGTATGAAAGATTTGTATTTCACCCCGAGAGAAGCAGCTTCTCCTTTGTCTTTTCTGAAGCCTACAGTGTCAGAAGCAGTGGGGGTGGAGGAGTTGGGACGTGGGGTACTCGGATGTTAATCTGTGAGGTAATAGCTTTTCTCTGCAGAATTGCAAATTCTAATATATGTCACTTTGTAAAACGGACAGCCGTGGTCACCAAAGACACCATCTCCAGGGGTCTCTCTCCCACTCGCTCCCCCACTCTGTCCGTCCGCAACAATGGCTGCCAAGTGTAACATGCTACTTTTAATTTGCAATAACACGTGACAATAGCAGATTAATGGCTCTTATGACACCTGTGTCCCTGAAGCTCCTCTTGCCGAGACCCAGTGTACATAACGTGTGTCACACTACATTATCTCTACATCCCTCCTGTAATGGGGGGACCTTTTTTTAAGGGCACTGCTGACTTGGAAACTTAGGAGCTGTCTGCCTGCTTGGCAGAGAGCCACAGCGACTGCCTAAAACAAATACTCTGGGCTACACAGCCAATCCATTTCACCGGGGCTTGTGTTGCACACTCCCCTCCCTAACCCTTCCCCTCCTTTCCTTCGCTCATTTTTGTTCATGTTTTCAACCCTTGATAATGACTGCTTGTGCCATAATCATCATGAGGCTTACCAAGTTAAATAGGGCTCAGGCAAGCTACTGTGCTGTGAGGAAATTTAATCCAAGCATTAACTGGCTATAGACTACTGCCTACTGAAGGAAGCAAAATACGTCTGAATAGCAAACAAGGCAACACTAAAACACAGATCTCAGCTAAAGAAAATACTGAAACCAAAATCGACACCACGATAGCAGCACAAACATGCTTCTCACTTCTATTTGTTTGATTTCAGAGCCACATGCTCAGGGTCTTAGATGTATTTTTCTTGGATAAGAAGTGTTTTTTGCCTTGTTTGGTTTGAAAAAATACTAAGCAGTATACTTATGGTTATAGCACTTGATCGTTTCTCAAAAAAGCAACTAAAATGCATGAATGCAAGAAAAGACAGAAGGGCTCTTTCAACAGTTGATGGTATCTATGGAAATAAAGGGAAAATATGGCATCTGTGATGATTTTCTTTCAACAATGTACAACAAAAATAATAACATATAGCTCAGGTTATGACATACTGGAGCTGCCACCTTCATTTCAAAATAAAACTACTCACTATTTTCCAATTTCCACTAAAATGGTTGCAAAAACCTCCACATCCAACAAAATGCTGAGTATATAACCTAAGTGTCCTAAATACTACAACCCTTTTTCATAGGACACTTCAGGCTACCAAAGCAGCCACATCATCCCAGTTGCAAAATCTTGAAATTCTTTTTTGTTTTTGAGGTAAGGTGCACTTTAAGAGAAGACAGCAACAGGACAATAGTGTCTACAGGGTAACATCGTATGTAATATACTATTCTTACAAACTGTGGCTCGAGGCAAGACATTGCTTTTGCCACCGCGTGTGTGCGGCCAAGGCCTGGGGTTTATGTTTTGGAAAGATAAAGTATCCCTGACCCTGTGGTTCCAGGTAGGCACCAGCTGGCCGTTGAGAGAGTATATAAGAACCAACGGCTCCCTCCGTCACCCTCAGTGCAAGTCCTACCCTGACGGAAACACGCACACACGAGCGCACACATCCACACACGCACACCTTTCTTCTCTTTCATCGTAATGCTGGCCGAGCACCTAAATCACAGAAATGGCAGCACATCAGGGGAATCATTTGAGACTGAATAGCCATAGAAACATGGCGCTGTCACCTGGAAGACCTCCACAAAACAGGCCAGCTCTCCCCCTCACACACACACACACACACACACACACACACACCTTATTCTTCTCCATGCCCTTTAATACCTCTTTGCCCTTCAGTAGCAATCTGCATAGAAATGTGTGCATTCTATCATTCAGTGACTAGACATTACACCCTGGCTAATATGAGAGGTCTTCGAACGACTGAAAATGAACCCTTGAAAATACCAGACGTTTGCATTATGCCGCCACGATTGCATCTCTTACAGGGAAAGACTTGATTATGTCATTTGCCATGTCCACGTCATGCTGGTTTTTATATCTTTGCCAGGAAATCTACCTCTGACAGGTCATTAGTCATCCCTCCCTCCCTGCACGCACATAAAACATCAATTCCACTCAATATCCCGCAAACCCCCGTGCTTCTCAACAAATGCCAGAACAAAGAAGACGCTATGTAAACTACTGCCGTGCTCTGATTAGCTCTCATTCCAGAGCACTGCAGAAATAAGGCACTCATTCCCCACCCTGTTTGAGATAACTGCCCCTTTTCAGCAGCCACATCATCCCTCCATACCCATACATGCCTTGTAACATGAGTGCATCTGTTTAGCTATTCTCATCAGCTGCTTATGTAGTGACATTAAGGAAGCCTATTGCTTACAGAACCAATAATCTATATCGCCTCAGGCCCCCTTTATATCCACTAACATACTACTTCAGCAGCAGAAGTAGAGCCACTTTTGTTAAAGAAAAAAAAAAGCCCTCCACAGAGCTATAGCGGCTTTCTTGACTGACCCGGGTGGTTGGCTACATCATCTTGACATGTAATTATCTAAAGCCCTTTAATCACTTCCATAAAGATTAATTGCAGGAGACAACAGCGGAGGTCGTGTCTTCAAATCAAAAGACTCCTTGGCAGATTGACACAGCGGTGTAACAGAGTTCAGACTTAGGTGTTTTATAAGGGTCATCTACTGGAACTGAAGCAGGGTTTAATGCTGTAATTGCAAGTTCAGCAAAGTGGGTTTTATAGCGTAAAGCTGCAAAGAATTCTATTACATTTTTTAGCTTTTTTGTAGGATTTTAGACATTTTCTGCGTGCTAATCCTGAGCTGAGCTTTTTATTTTTACTCCTCAAGACAGAAGAAAATCTCTTACCTTCATCTCTTTTCCTCTTTTCACCATTGGATCGTGGAATACCAAGAATCCCATTGATGGAGTAGGATCCTGCAGGGTCATTGGAGGCGCTGGTTACAGGCGGAGAGGCTGTGCTTGGTACTGGGAAATAGACAGAAAAAGAAATAAGCAACCAGCTTGAATTTACAGTGAATATACATGCATGTACATTGTGTGCTGAAGCTAGTGCTGTAAGCTGCAGTGTTACCTATAGTATGGCCTGGTGTCGAGAGGGATGTCCCGTCAGGAGACGGATGGAAAGGCTGCTGGACTTTTGTTCGGATGATCCTGGGGAACAAAGGCAAAGCAGATGTCAGCTGCTGCTTCTCTATGACCGACATCCCTTCCAGGAAACTGTCCCTAATACGATGCTATTGGTAACAGCATGGAGATATTACGTGATTAAGATATCAAACATGAGTCATACGCAAGACGTGGATCTGGTCAGTGGTTCTACCTTAAAGGTGAGGTGTGGAGAAAAGTCTTCATTGCACTTTTGGTCTGAGTGATCTTGCAAACAAAGCATGAAATCACATCAATTCACCTCAATGATCAGCTTCACTGACTCTACCTGGCCCACACTAATCAGCTCTCTCTCCCCCACTGTGGAGGGGGTTTCACTGGGGCCGATCGCAGCCATATAGTAGCCCTTTACTTCCCAGATCAAACATCTCTGTAGAACCAGCGGCCCCCATGTGCCAATGCGGATGAGGTTGTATTGATCGGGGCTTGGGGAGAAAAAGTTGGGGATTAGTCACACGGGCAAACAGATGCAAATAGAAAGCTATAAATTATATGTGACAGGAAAGCAATAGTTCCTTATTGCCTTGCACAAGCTTACGCCAGCATTAGATTCCTTTAATCTGAATGGCACTTGGGGAGAAAGGGAGCTGTCACAATAATTTGTAAACTTTAAAACTATTCATCATGTATGCCACGAGAGCTATTTTAGAGCACAAAGAAGAGAGGTCAGTTGAGGACTGTAGATCCCTATAGCGTTGATTTCTTGCACAATTCAGATGTTTTTCATTTGTTCTTATTTCTCTGCATGTTTTATCTCAATAGAATGAAAGTATTTACAGGTAAAACCGCCTTGATTACAATTTGAAAATTATATTTCCCTCCATATTATCCAGGAATGCATCAAATGATTTGGATATTGATGTTACTGTATGTGCCGGAAGGCTTCAGAGGAATAAATCCAACACTGTCACAAATAAAAAAAAGAAAAAGGAGAACTCCCCTTGGAGGCAAAGCTACCTCACAACAAGCCTTTCCAGAGAGTGCATATTGATGTTTTAATTTTTTTCACTTCTCCCCATAACAGTTATTCGACCCCTTGACTTGTGTGTGCTACATAAATCCAAAGACTTTATTTGGTATCCATGTTCTTGATATTGAATAAGCAATTTGAGAGAATGAATTAATGACCTGGCTGTTGCTGAAAATCCCCTGAAGAAATATTAAAATTGCTTTCCTTCTGAATCAATAATATCTAGCGCCATTGAGGACCTTTTTTTTGTTTTGTTTTTATGTCTACCAGCAGGCTATAGCGTTACTTGTTGGTTGTGGGGGCCCTGACTCGTAGTACAACACTATCTCTGTAGCATTTAATAATGCATGCAGGGGAAAGGTGTTTAAATAGAGCATCCTCTTTTGTCAACAGTCCTGAGGTCAGACTGTCTGCCACAGAAACCCACAACTGGCCCCAGTCAGAATCATCCAACTGGAAAACTGTTTTTTCCTTTTTTTTCTCCTGAATTGTCTTAACTGAAAAAGCCCCGTTTGAACTTCTCTTCTCGTTTATTTTGCGTCAAACTCACTCTTTCTGCATATTTAAAAAAAAAAAGAAACTTGAAGTAGCATTAGATGATTTGAAGTCTGTTAAACTGACTGAAACACTAAGGATGTTTTCATTGATTTTTGCGGGCTGCTTCTTTAGAAACTCAAACATGTATTGAAATATTAACCTCCAGCTAAATCAAAACAAATGCGCGTGTCGTCTCATTTGTGTGTCTGCTCCATTATGTGTGAGTGTGTGTCTGTGTGTAAGTGTGTGTCTGTGTGTGTCTGTGTGTGTGTGTGTGTGTGTGTGTGTGTGTGTGTGTGTTACTCGAGTACAGAGTAACACAGTGAAATCTTACATTTCTTCTGCTAAAAAAAGGAAAATATTCAGCATCAAGCCATAATAGAAATTCAAAGTAGCTCTCATACTGTATTTGGCTGATAGAATTACAGTTCTTTGTATTCACAATTTAATTTCCCACATAAACAAAGACACATAAGGCTCCCCCCGGCCCAAAATAGAAAGCATTAATTGGAATTGAAAAAACTTTATAGGGCTCTTTTAATGATATTAATGTACGTTTTGAATTTATCACATACATGTGTCTGAGCCTCCTTAAATGAGGCTTTTTAAGCAGCCACGAAGCATGAAATGAATTTTCTTCAGCCTTTTCTCTATTTAAAAGATGTCTTGTGTGGAGCTGTCCATGCTCTCCCATCAGCTCATTAAAATGTAATGCTGATGCTGGCTCTATGGAACAGTGCCTCTTAACCAAAGTTCATCACCAGGGATCTCTGGTGGGGTGGGGGTGGGGGTGGGGGGGTGAAGGGGTTGGGGTGGGGTGGGGTTGGGGTGTTCTGGGTCCTCCTGTAGCTGCCTTTCTACAACTATAGTGCTGTTTACGAATTTCTTTAAGGAAACGGGAAGGATTTTTTTAGCATTAAATTGTGACCCTTGAAATGTTAAATATAGATATTTTATATGGTGATTTGTCACATAAGCGTTTCATATAAGAGTTTTAATGCCACAATCAAGGCATAAATTGATACTGCACTTTTATACATCATCATAAAGTTACATCAATATTAATTACAACAAGATATCGCCTCGAATTTTAATGCAAGGATTTAAATCAGGAGCCTTATTCAGAAACAGGAGATGATTTTAAAGGTGCCCCCACAGAAAGCGTTACAATATATTTTGATTCATTTTTATTATCACCTTATTTTGTGATGCAATATTTTTGAACAAATTACATTCAAACCAATTTCTACAAAAATAAAATCTTGCAGAAAAGGCAGTGTTGCTCTCCCTGTGTGTCTGTGCAGCAGCAGCTCCAGCACATTAGATGTGCTAAAGAAAATTGGCCTGCTTTATAGCGCCACGGGATCTGGTCACCGAATATTGATCGGTTTTCATCTCGACAGATTCACTCAGTCCTGGATGTACTGCTGATTGTTGAGGGAGTTTGGTCTGAAAGATTGAATTGCACCTCTGAGACCGCAGGCAGCCTCGGCGTGAACGGGCAGCACAAAGTTGGTCAAACAATATTCTGTTGTGGGTGGTGCGCTCAGCACAGATAGGTACACTGTGATGAATGATTTTCAATTTGCGCTCTCCCTGCCCTCTTCATTAAAGTGTTTACATGCTGCAGCCCGTTGCTTAACCCAACTAAATTTACAAAAGGAGTAAAAAAAAAAACCAAAAAAAACAGAATATTCTACATTTTTATGTATTTTTAGGTTATATTTGATTTTTTGTTATTTTTTGTTTCCTACCTGTTAATGGATGAAACGCTGGGAACAGTGTCGTTGTCGCAGATGCCCTCTGCCAGCAGTCTGTCTCTGATCTCCCAAGCAAACATGGTTGGGTTTTGTCTCTTGTAGTCTGCGATTTTTTCCACAACCTTTGGCGTGGCCACTTTAGGTTTAGACCCACCAATCACCCCTGGTTTGATGCTGCCAGTCTCGTAATATCTGCAAAGAAAAATTATGTCCTCCAATAAGATGATAGCTTGTAATATTTAAGATGTAATTCTGGCCGATAACACTCCCCTTGTGATGCGTTTAACACCATTTAAACGCAATGATACACCTATAGGTTACAGACATTGGGGAGGTTTTTTTTTGTTGTTGTTTTTTTCACAAGAAAGTGTTCAAAAGTTAAACTTTTCTGCAGCAAAACCCCTAACTTGAGGGTTCTGTGCGTATAATTGTCGTCTCCAATCGTTCATCATGTCTCAAAACAAACCCAACATTCCTTAAAAACTGATTAAAAGGCAACAAACACGCATTAGCGTTTGCATGCATAGACGGAAAAGATTATTCTGTAAAATTAGTATCTTTTCAATAACAATACCAACACCAACATCCACACATACAATGACGAGACCCCCACCTAAACTATCCACTAATCTTCCAAAATAGCGTTTATCTATAATTTAGGACATTTAAAATACAATCACATCTATTTGAAAAATATTAAAAACTGAGCGTTTTGCAAGTTCAGCTCACTCCTCCTCTACCACCACTGCACATAGCTGCATATATATCCATCCACCTCCATCCACCCAGCAGAGTCTACCTGGCTGCAGGACTTGGCTGGAGACTCTTCACCCACCTGCCCAGGATCTTGCTGACGCAGCCGTGGCTGACCCGCAGCTGTCGGGAGATGTCGCAGGGCCGGACGCCCTGGTGGGCCAGCTCCACTATCCGCTGCCTCACCACGTCCGGGAGGGGTCTGCCGTTCACAAACACCCCGCCGAGCTGGTTCACACCTCCGTGCCCTACGTGGGACACAACAGCAGCACACACACAACCGTAACATTACATAAGGTCGTAAGAGAGAGGAAGGCGCAGCTGAGTTTTAAAATATAGTGGAGGCACAAAATGACGGAAAAAAGCCTTTATAGTCAGTTCCCCTAACTTGTTTGGATAGAGCATGTGGATTTACATGTATTTATGGTGTTTTAAAGGAGCCATTAAGAGTGCATTAAATGCTGCAACAATTTGTTTTGTTTATTTTTTTTAAACCTTTGTTTTTATTTATTTTCTGTTATCAGAAAGTTGTTTACTGCCATCATTGAAGCGCATTGGATTTTAAACGTTTCATAAATACAGCACAAAGATAAAAAAATATTTTATTTTGTCACTCATTATTTTAGATAATTAATGGATAAACTAATGAAGTTTTGGTGATTTTTAAAGGCAGTAAAGAGTGGAGATAATCACACCACTGCAAACCAAGTGTCCTATAATGAAAGTGCATGTTTTTATAAATATATTTTTATAATGTAGCAAAAATAGACATTGCAGCTGAAAACTTATTTAGGCTATATGTTTGTTTTTGTCAATGCTTGTTAGTCATTTCCCCCCCTCCTTTTGTGTTTTAAAAGAAAGGAATTTAAGTTCAACTTTAACCTTTTAAATTAAGATTGTTTATCAAAATAAAATAAAAGCATACATCAAGTGCTGAACACCTGATCATCCAGCATATATAAATATTTATCTACCACACTGTTATTCTGCAGCTTGTACAATTGGTACATTAAATCCAACCTACACTGACCCATGAATATGTGGACCTGTGTCATAACTGCTATTTAAAATAATAAAAATATATATTTATTTAAGTCCAGTATTTTTTTCCTCACAGTCAAAACGCAGAGCTCATATTTTCTAAGCAGCTCTACGACTCATGTTGCCTATTAAGTTGCAAGCTCACTCATTTCTCCTGCACGGTAATTTTAAATAATTGAACGAGCTTTGATCACTCAAATTACGTATTATTTGGTAAATGAAGAGGTCATCAATTATTCACACACATTCACCAAATTACACGTCAACCACACTGTATGTGGACTTAAGTTGGACTTACACATCTTGCTGTTATATGAATAATTTGAATAATACATGTGTAACTAATGTGTGACGACTTATTAGGCCTCGCAACACACACACACACACACACACACACACACACACACACACACAGTGAGCGGGAAGCTGGAGGGTGATACACGTGTAAATTACAGAGTACCTGCCAACGCATGTTCTTTGTTTACTAAGACAAGTTTAATTTCTGCACATCGCCGCTCTGTGCACAGAAGTGCTGCTGCCATTTGTTATGTTTTTTTTTAAAGAATTTTAAAGCAGTTTATTGGCTGAAATTTGCACACAGGTGTTGAAACACGAGGATATTATTTATTCCACTATCAGCCTTATGTTTCCATGTTTGGCTGCATGTCAGTTTATTTAGCCTGCAACTGTTTTTATGCGCCAAGATGCTGTTAGCGCATGCAACTCGCCATGCTCTCTGCTACAGGCCCTTTTGTAATATGCAGAAATGATGTATTTCTTCTTGTTATTATTTTTTTTTATCCGCATACGTGCAAAAAAAAGAAAAAAAAGCTGCAGTGGCAGAGAGAAACTCGGGTTGTGCTACTTACGGTGCATCGCTGTAAAGGGGTCTGCTTTGCAGTGAATATCCATTGGATAGCAAAGGAAAGACAGATAATCAACTGAAGTCGCCGTTTCGCCTTCCTATCAAGGATGAAAATGTGAAGAAAAAAAGGTGATTCTACTCGATGGAGGGACTTAGTTTGCCCCCTCCACCCCCCGGTTCAAACAACCGATCTGGTGGCAACTTCTTCCCCCAAAAGTTGCCTTGCTTTTTTCTTCAACAGTCCGGTCCGGGAGCGGAGGTCTGGCAGGTGCGCAGCATGACCGAAGGATTGTTTCAGGAATACGACCTGTGTTCAGTTTATCGGTATGTTTCAAAAGCCTGGAGTGACCAGAGGTAAATTCAGCATACCAGCGAGACACCGCGTTTTCTTTCAAAGGTATGAAACGTTGAGGTCCAGCGTGCTGTTGTGTGTGTGTGTGTGGGGTGGGGGGGTGGGGGGGGACGGCCCGGTATCTCCTCAAAATCCTGGTGGCCTTGATTCACGCGTCAAAACGGCGGAGAAACACGCACACACACGCACACATCGGGTTTCTCTCCTGCGCTGGATGCGTTAGGCTGGATCTTTGGGCTGGGAATGAAGCCTCTCTCTGTGTCTGTGGTTCTAAAAGCTGCAACCCTCCCCTCCTTCTCTCTCTCTCTCTCACTTCCCCCCCCCTCCTCCCCTCTGCAGACCCCCCTTTTTGCTTATATGGATGACTTGTCAGACAAAGGCAATAGATGCCAACACTTTGTGATTCGCCAACGCAAAAAAAAAAAAACCGGGGGTCCAAATGAGGAGGTCTCTGGGTCTGTCACACCGGCAGGAAGGGGAGGGAGATAAATAAGGAATGGATTCGGAGTTGCAAATATCAGAGTTTATTAGACATTATAACAGCTGTGAATTATATGCTCGCTTGTTGGAAGTTCTGAATCAATGAAATAGAGATTATTTTTTAAATTTGTGTGTCTTTCTGATCTTTTTTCCCCCCCTTTATTACACGGACTATCAGCCTGTCTCTGGGAATATACAGGATATCTCTGTGTGCACAGGTCTCCTCACAAACCCGGATTTTTTTTAGCTCGATCCCTCTTTGAATTTTATCATTTTATTTAATTTTTTTGCTCATCTGTCTTTATAACCCCTCTGGAACCCAAGTAGGCCTGAAATAATTTGTTTATAGCTTTATCTCGTGCTTTAATGTGTTAGAGAACACGTTAAACGCGGTTAGCTGATGTATATAAATGCAGATGTATTGACCTTTTTGCGTACAGCTGATGGTGTGATGATTGCAGTGGTCCAAACTGGGAGCAGTGGTGGTGGTTGGAGGTTGGAGGTGAAACTGATCTGCACGCAGCAGTGCCGCTTAGCTTCTGTAGATGGCGCTGTATAGTTTCTTAAATTTAAAGGCGCTGTCAAAGCAGTCAAAAAAGTAAAACTTGGGGTGCACTTGAGTGCCTGTGGTCCAACTGATAGGTAAAAATATTCTTCTGGAAGAATTATCCATAGATTCATGTGAGGTGTTGGAAAGAATTAAAGAGAAGATAAGATTGGGCTGCAGTATAAAGTCATCGGAATGGGAAATGAAACTAAACAATGCATGATGGAATCATATAAAGTCAAGGTGCATCGCTTTGGATCCTATTAACACTCTATTTGTAAAAAAAATCTTGAGCCCATAGAAAATTTTAATATCTTAAATAATCTCAAAAAGTTGTTTTAATTCAACACATAACTCAATTATTCTTATTATAGAATTAATATAGGCTATATAATACTTTTAAATTGTGAAGCAATTTTCTTAACAAAGTTTACAAAGTGTTTTACAAAGGAAAACAACGAAGAAAGTCATAAAAGCAAAAGCATTTTAAAACAACATAAAATATATTTAAAAAATACATAAAATATAAATAAATTAAAATATCATGCTGATCGAAATACCAGTCAATTACTAACTTAATATTTATGTGTGCCTGAATAATAATAATAATAATAATAATAATAATAATAATAATAATAATAATAATAATAATAATAATTTTCAAAATAAAATACACACATTTTTGGGTGACTTCCTAATTTCCCCTTGTTATTTTTGTATGCACGCGCTCTTGCCACATATTTGGCCATTTTTTTTCGTGGGGTAGGTAGGTGGGGCTGGGGGGCATCTCTTAGGGGCAGGCGGCCACATCTCGCGCTCTGCCTCCTGGTCAGGTTAGGGGATGATTTCTCTTTTTGTTACTGTTTTTGGAGTGAGCTTCTGGTACAATATGTAGCACTATAGGCTGTAATTTCACACCCGGCTGCACATTTCCCTTAAAGCTACATTCTTTTTTTCCTTTTTTTTCCCTCTCCCCCCCTCCCTTTAAGAACCCACCACCACCATCATCATCACCCCCTCCCTCAGTTTTCTCTCCCTCTCTCTCTCCCTCTCTCTCTCATGCCCTCCTGCTCCCCCAGCATTTGATCTCCCCACTGCAAAAATTAAGCAGGATGAGGGAGGGGAAGGAGAGGGGAGGGGAGGGGGTGCAAAATGCTGAAGTTGTTGTTTTGAACACATATCCAAACGAATACACCGTTTTCACGTGTTTACTTTGTTTGGTTTGTGTTTGCACAGCACGTGCGGCACTGTGGTCAGATGGGCCCTATAACCCCTCTCTTTTTAGGAAGGGGGCCGCTCTATTCAGCTGCTACAACACGGGGTCAGAGAGCTCCTAAAAAGCCATTTAAACAATACAAAGACTGAATCAATTATCTCTTTTTTTCCTTTCCTTTTCTTGTTTTTGTTTTGTTGTTGCATTTTTTACCTTTAATAATTAAACCTCGATACTTGTAATCATCTCACAACTAAAGCCAGTAAACAGCCCAAATGTATCACTTTCAGAAAAAAATACATTTGAATACATTTGAACACATTTCCCCACAATTACTGGCTCACTTCCACTCTGACACACAACTGCAGTATTTAAGACGATGCCACTGCATGTCAAGAGTTTGGAAAATGTTTTTGGAGCCCGGGTGCACCCATTAGGAGAGGTGTAATGTATTGACAGAGAGCAATTTATCTTTTGCCCCGCTTCCTAATGGCCTGTGCAGGAGGAGAGAGGAGAGGTGGCATGGAGGAGGAGGAGGAGGAGGAGGTGGAGGAGAGGGAAGAAGCAGCACCGAGGGTCCAGCAGCTCCACCCGCCGAACATCAGCTCACACTTTCAGGCAACTGTGGGGAGGATGATCGAGGCGTCTGAGTGTGGTGGTAAAGAACTTTTATTTCTAGAGGTGGGAGAGGTGTCATTTATGTGTGTGTGTGTGTGTGTGTGTGTGTGTGTGTGTGTGTGTGTGTGTGTGTGTGTGTGTGTGTGTGTGTGTGTATGTGTGTATGTGTGTGTGCGTGTGGTCTTTTTCCGTCTTCTTCCTCCTCCTCTCGTGCAGACTCTGCTGGTTGTCTCGCGTTATTCCAACGTCACCAATCGATCTGAGTTTCCCTGCAGAGGGGAGCTGACACCACTGGTTGTAAGTTGAATATTAATCCTTTTGGATTTAAGGGAGGGGGTTCTGTCAGGAGATTTATGGTGATTTAGATGAATTCGTGGCGAATGTTTTTTTATTTATTTTTTTTGAGAATTTGCACCTTCTGTAAATCTGAGAATAATATCAAAACATGTGCAGAGTCTTAAGATTTTCCTGCACGCCTAAATTAAAACTATATAATAGTCTTTTAAGGCTCTTTGTTAGACTAAATTGGTCAAAAATAGACATTAAACCACAGTTATTGGCTCTTAAAATATACACAAATGAGTGATAATTCTAATAATTTTACATTTGAACAGACAGGAGGAGATTTCAGGAGTTCAGTTGCAGCCTCTTCACATATAATCCTGTAACACTAACAGAAATATCTCTGACACTGTACTGTATGTTGGATTTCCTCACTGTGTCCTGTGCTCCAGCAGCGAGGCTACTATACTCCGGGCTACAAATCTTGCTGGCGTGAACAGATGGAGCATCAATTTGATTCTATCCTCGACACCGTGAAAGATTGATTTTGCACTTGCTTTTAATTTTGCCCATAATTAATTGGATCATTACAACTGTTTTCCATTGATCCCCTCGTTTAAATGTAAAATTAGAATGTGATCTATGTATCTTATCATTCGTTTATTTATTTATTTGTTTGTTTGTTTGGTGGAAGAACATCCTAGAGCAAAAATCCTCGTTTTATAATTCTATATCGCTAGTTGTTTGAGCGTCTGCTTCCAGTATAATGCAGAAAAACCAAACTGTATATTAATATTGCAAAATTATAAACTCATTGTAAACTTAGAATGTGGCCTATTGATGTAAAGGCACACACACACTGGTCTTATTCAGCATCTCTTAAGACAAAATCGCTAAAATATTCACATAGTTTTCTATATTTTCTTATAGTTTTGTATATATAATATTCATATAATATGTACAATCATTTCCCAGTTTTTCCAGTTATATGTACAGTGTAATTCTGATTTTATTGTAGGGTTCCACCAATCGTCAATTAATTTGTCATCAGTTGTCAGGCTGCATCTCTTTTTTAATGCACTTAATCATATTTTTTTTTATCATTTTATACGTTTTATTCTGTAAATAAATGACAGGCAGGATTGTGAGAAATTGACATTAACAATAAATTATTATCTTAGTCGGCTTTTATCTTCTGTTCAGAGATGTGCTGGTGAAAAGAAAAATGAATTTGTTGTTGTTGTTGTTTGTAGAATAAAAGTAAAAGCTGAAATACATTTTGTAAAGGGTGGAATTTAAACACAACAAAATTAAACAAAGTCGCATTTGTGTTTGTTTTGTTTTGTTTCTATTGCTGGTTCGATTGCCAGTGCGATGCCACTCTTTGGGAGTGTACTTAAAGCTGAATATGTCAGTTTAATGCAGCCGATTTAACCGTTTACTGTCTTTGATGGGGAATCATCAAAAATTAAGAATAGGTGTAAAAGTCAATGCGGAAGTTTACAGCTGTCAGGGTCGTATTTCAGATGATAAAACCCACACAGGAAGGACTTTGAGCTGCTCTCAATCTTTGCACTGTAACTGTAAAAAAAAAAAAAAATCCACACAGGTACCTGCATCCAGTCCTGGTGTTAACTCCAATTAAATTCTTCTTATATCTGCAGTGTTTCAGGTTGGCTGTTCAGCTGATGGTCTGTCTCGTCATTAGTCCTCAACACCCCCCTCCACACCCTCAACCCCCACCCCAAACACACACAAATATACACACACCATATAGTGAGTGGTTCTAGTGATTTTGTATTGTATTAAAGATCCAAATGCAAGTGAGATCAGGTTACATTACTTTGATTAGAAAACACTTTGTTAAATTACTTTTCATACCCTGAGCACAAAAGCAGTCAGACAGTTGAGTTTCTGAGCTTTTCCATGCCTCAGGTACAGCAAATCATTAAGAAAAATTAACATCTCATTTGCATTTAAACGTGAAGGAAGGATCAAATTACAAAAAAAACATTACATATTAGTATTATTATTATTATTATTTCAAGCTTTTAAATCTATTGCATCAAAGCTAATTTCCACATCTTATTCCCCTTTTGTATT